TTTTGTTCTTATGTTCCGAATTAACAAATATTGCAACCTGTTTTTTTTTATATGTTGATAACCTTATCAAACCTATAAATTGTGTAACTTAGCATGATTACCTTTGTTTTTCTCATATGCATCTAAGTTATTTAAAAAAAAAAATCGGACTTAACCATGAACAGTCTTCAGGCATAGCAGTTAGTTTTCAATATTTAAATTATATGGTGCTTGTTTAAGTTTATGACTTCAGATTATTTACTAATTTCTTTTCCAATTGGGATGTTAACTTGGGATATATTTTGATTCAGTGTTAGATAGCTAGCTTTTGAGTTTAGAAAACTTTTTTCTGTTTCACGGCAATGGCTACATACAATGTGGCAAGGTCCAGCATGAGATCACCAGAAAGTTACTTAAACCAAAAATGATTCCTACAAGAATACGAATTGTTTTCTGATCTCTTCATTGCCAATTTACAGAAACAATAAGTATATAAAAAAATGATTCCTATAAGAATACGAATTTTTCTCTAATTTGTCATTCCGTGCAATGTTGTTATTGTTGTTGAATCAGTAATTTATTTGTTATTGTTGGTCCATGAACTTGTAAGAAATTTATTTGTTACCGTTCTGACTTTATTTCTTTACTGCTGCAATCGGTTCACAAATTCTCTTTACGTAAGAATTCCCGACTTCTATACAAACTGCAATCATCAGATGTCAATAAAGATTAATTGTTTGTAAATTTTGTTTTTTTAATGTAAACAGAAAACCAATGTCTTCCGATAGTGGAAACAGTTCAAATGATGAGCAAGAAGAAGAAGTATATACAGATAATGAGAACAAGACAATTTTTCAATTTAATAATGTAGTGTTAGGCTCAAGCTTTCTAATGTACGATTACTACTCATTGTATTTAAATAAAAAACCATGCATGACGTCTACCCAAACTGGAGAGAAATGGATAAGTGAGTTACTGCTCGGGCATCCAGTTAGATTTCACAATATTTTTAGAATGTCCCAGATTATTTTCAACGACTTGGTATGTTTGCTTGAAGAAAAACACGGCATATATGGATCACGTAGGACAAACATTAGAGAAGTTCTTGCAATAACTTTATTCATTTTAGGGCAAAATGAATCCATTCGATCAACATCCGAAAGATTCCAACATTCTACAGAAACAATAAGTAGATACTTTTGTGTTGGACTTGAAACTTTATCAGGACTGTCATTGGAAATTATTTCACCTAAAGATAAGAAATTTCAAAATATTCCAGTGCAGATCCGAAGGGATATGAGGTATATGCCATATTTCAGAGATTGTATTGGGGCAATTGATGGAACTCATGTTGATGCAAGAATTCCTGTAGAAGATCAAATTCCTTTCATAGGACGGCATCATAAAACTACTCAAAATGTAATGGCTACTTGTGATTTCGACATGTGCTTTACATTTGTTTCAGCAGGATGGGAAGGTTCAGCACATGATGCTCGCATTTTTAAACATGCTGTGACAAATCCTAAATTTAATTTTCCAAAACCGCCAACAAGTATGTTTTATTCATCTATAAATAGTGGAAGTTTTTTTGTAATATGTAATATTGTATGTATTAACTTATTGGAAATTTATGTACAGATAAATATTACTTAGTTGATGCAGCTTATCCTATGAAAAAAGGATATCTGAAGCCTTACCCAGATACACGATATCATTTAGCAGATTTTGCTCGAGGAAGTCAACCAATAAGGGGTTACAGGGAAGTATTCAATAAGAGGCATTCCTCATTACGAAGTATCATTGAGCGTACATTTGGTGTGTGGAAAAAAAAAATGGAGAATTCTACGTGATATGCCAAATTACGCGTTGAAGAAACAATGTCAAATAGTTATAGGTACAATGGCATTGCATAATTTTATACGAAGACATAACTCACGGGTCGATCCTGATTTTGATGAGTATGAGAAGGATGAAAACTTTGATATTTCTGACTGTAGTGTAGACAGAGTGCCAGAATCAGGTGAAGAAAATGTTTGTGTTGAAGAACAGACTGATGGTGAAGGTGTTACTGAGATGAAAGAAGTTAGAGATAATATCGCGAAACAGTTGTACAACTTTAGTAGGTACTATAGTTATCTTAATATTGGTTTTCAAAATTTAATATTATAGAAAAAATTGTTGTTTGTTTTCTTTAATTATTAATGATGAAGTATGTAAGGACTAATAATTTTTTTGTATATATATTTCAGGTGTGTAGATGAGATATGATGATGAAAATATAGAAGTTGAAGAAGATAACCTTGACAAACCTTATGAAGATTGAAGTTGCTTGTTAAATTTGTTAGAATTTGTGTTTGTGTGATTGAGAACAAAATGTGTTTTAAAAACTTAATGTTTTTTAAATAAATTAGTAGATGATGTGTGGTTATATTAAAAAGTTGATTCTTATTTACTCAAACTAGATAGTTTAATGGTGTTCGTAATATTATCATATTTATAATAAGTTAAATAGACATTGTAAAAAGTTTATTTCAAGTAAAAATATTTTAAAATGTTTTGTTAAACACATACTAAACAGAGAAATGAAATAAATATATATAAAATAGATGTTTGTGATACAGGAAGTTAAGTAGTTTCGAAGTGAAATATCAGATCTGAAGCCGAAAATATCATGTTGGACAGAATTTCAGCATTTAAGATCCGGATATAATTAATTAAAATAAGAGGATAATTTTGTCTTTTATCATTTCTAGAGTAGAGCCGAGAACTGAGATCCACGAATCCACCAAACAACTTCCCGTTATTTTAAATAATTTTATTTCAAACTCTGTTTTTTTAACTCTCCGCTTCTACCGACTTAAACAAACGGCGGGCGGTAACCAAACGAGCCCGTAATCGCAGATCAGCTTGGTTTGAAATCCGCGCTCTCTCTCTCTCTCACTTGCACGACTGATCCCTCTGTCCCAAAACGTAAACCCTAGAAAAATGTCGTCCAGGCTCAAGGAAAGGGGAAGAGAGGGTGGAAAGATCATCGCTTCTAACTTTCAAACCAAGATAAGCCAAGACAGTCTTCCCCGCCCAAGACTCATCTCAGCGAGGACCGCACTAGTTGACCATAAGGAGAATCCCCGCCCAATCTCCACTGGTCGTCCTTCTATGGCCTCCTCCGCTAGAAATGGGAAACCAAGACCCGTTTCAGCCGGCCGGGCTACTGTTGCTCCGAAGCATGCTGAGAAGAAGCCTGTAAATGCCGTCGTACGCTCAATCTCCACTGGTCGTCCTTCTATGGCCTCCTCCGCTAGAAATGGGAAACCAAGACCCGTTTCAGCCGGCCGGGCTACTGTTGCTCCGAAGCATGCTGAGAAGAAGCCTGTAAATGCCATCGTACGCTCTACATCTTCCCTTTCCAGAGGTAAAGTTGCTGACCTTCATGGCGATGCCATCACTAGAATTTCTAGCTTCGGGGAAAGGAGAAGCTTTTCTGGATTTTGGACTTTGGATAAGGAACTGGCGGCAAAAGCCCAACTGGGTAATGATGCGTTGGGATCTCTGAAAGATGCTTCTAATAGATATCAGAGCAACCTTCATGAGAAGCTTGCACTATTAGAAGGCAGGGTTCAAAAATTAGCCTTGGAGATCAACCATACCAAAGACATGTTAGATAAGAACAAGTCAGGTAAATCTGGGCTTGCTCTTTCTGATATCCAGAACAACTACTAGATTTGTATATGTGTGTGTTTTTCTTGTAACAGTTACTATCTTTTTCATGTACTTCAGTTTGACTCTTGTGATGTTCCATGAACCTTTTCTTTCAACCTCCTGTAGCCTTCTTTCCCCATGCTCAGCCTTCTCTCAACATTAGTGGCAAGCGTTACCATGTTTTTTGCTAATGGAACTTTCGATTTAACCAACTTCATAATTGATTAAAGTTGTGGTTCCAACTAGATCAAACTTACTCACCAGTGAAGTGATACTTCAATTGACATTGTGTCTCCTAAGGAACTTCTTCTTTTTAACAAACCAATTTAATCCTAGATGTTATGTTGTCATCCATATCTCAACTATTTTAGGTAATATATATTCAAAGAACTAAAATATATCACCTAGATATCACTTGCTATTTAGTTATATTAAACATCCATTAAACTTACATGTCATATACTCAAACTTTTTCGTAAGACCTCTATCTTCTTAAAAAATTTTCCAAAGTTTTAATTTTTCACAGGCTTTTGAAATATCACATGTTTATATGACTTGTTTGGTCTGGCATCACAATTTTTGTGTGTGTTTGTGTGTGTTAGCTTGCATCTCTTAAAAGAGCTTTCCCTTTTCTAAGCTCCCAAAGTTGACTTCATGTCACTGTAAGTTCAGCATATCTGAACTGCAATACATCATTGAAAATTGGTGTGGATATTTTCAAACAATTAAGATAAGTTTATAAAATCCACTATAAGTCTTGATACTTCTCTTGGATGAGTTTTGCTGTGACAAACAACACATTAAGGTGGCGGACATTAAAATTTATTCTTCATGTCATAAATTAATAGGTTCCAGGACAATGTAAGCATTATTATTGACCTTGCAAAGCTGAGATACACTGCAAAAAAAAAATTCCAGAAGCAGGAATAGGAGTTTTGAGGACGGATGAAACTATTCATTGAAAAGAAAAAGAATGGACAATAGTTATACCTGGGAATTTTGAACAAGCACATCAATTGCAGCCAAGTACGGAGCAATTGTAAGCGTCTTATTGACAAAGTGAACTCTGTCCTGAATTCATTTCCTTGCCACGAAGTTTCTTAGTTCTCCTTCAAACTTCCTCTGGGCATTCATATCACTGCCAACTACTACATCATGAATTATAGGCACTTCAAACTTCTGCTCTCGGATCAATTGAAGACTTTCATAAAATGACTGAAGGAAAAAATCATGCCCCTTTCCACGTGATACACCTGCAATTTTACAAAGGAATGTGAATGCGTTTAATAAAAAAATTAGCATTACATCCTACTAGCCACTATCAAATTACAAGCTTATTTATACCTTCCAAGGATTCTGGGAGGTTAAAGTAAAATATCTGTCTTGTATGGTCAGGTAAATCTAAGGAAATAATGATTATTCTCACATACAAAGTAAGCATACGAGGTTTCTGAAGATACGCTGAGTCGGAACAGGAAGAAAGGGAAGAAGAGAATAAGCAGAGAGAAAATGTGAAATGTTATTTTCTTGTCCGTTTACACTATTACAGGTAGTAGTATATATAACACTAGCCTAAGGAATATTACACGTGGGCTGAGGATATTGGTCAGCAGTTATATAAGCTAATTATGATTTATGCTCTGATAGCCCCCCGCAAACGAACGGATCTGGAGAGATCGTTAGTTTGCTTCGGAGGAGCTTAAATCGGTTAGTAGATAATGGTTTGGTGAGGAGATCGGCAATTTGATCGACTGTTTTGATGTGCATCAGCCGGATGTGGTTGTTGATGATGTTCTCTCGAAGGAACCGGTGATCGATCTCTATATGCTTCGTTCTAGCGTGGAAAACGAGATTATTAGCTAGAGCAATAGCGGAAGTGTTGTCGCAAAAGAGATCGATTGGCTGATCGTGAGGAACTTGAAAGTCGTCCAGCAGTCGTTTGAGCCATATAGTATCGGCCGTGGCAGCTGCTAGGGCCCTATATTCGGACTCGGTAGAGGAGCGGGAAACGGTGGTTTGTTTCTTCACCGCCCAAGAGATCAGAGTGTTGCCGAGGAATGTGCAATACCCAGAAGTTGATTTGCGGGTGACTGGATCGCTAGCCCAATCAGCATCGGAATATGTACGGAGACGCAAATCTGACTTAGTAATGGGCAAACCGAAATGAACTGTGCCTTTTAGGTAACGGATTAACAGTTTGAGCATGAGAAAATGAATTGGTAGTGGATCGTGCATATGTTGAGAGAGGTTGTTGACAGCATATGCGATGTCCGGACGAGTGATTGTAAGGTATTGAAGAGCTCCTGTGAGTTGTCGGTACAGTGCAGGATCGGACCAATGCAGATCGGGCGATGTATCGGACGTAGTTTTGTGCTGGACGGATTGGCTACAGGATTACATTTTATAAGATTAGATTGTTGTATAATAGAATTGGCATAAGATTGTTGAGAAAGGAAATACGTATATGTGTTATGTTGGATTTTGATTCCCAGAAAATGATTGGCATGCCCAAGATGTTTGAGAGAAAATGCGTTGTGAAGCTTGGTGAGGGTGTCGGAGATAGCGCCCTCATTATTGCCGGTGATCAGAATATCGTCAACGTAGACGAGTAACATTATGTGGACGTTGCCTTTACGGTATGTAAGAAGGGATGGATCGGACTTACTGTGACGAAATCCGATCGTGGCAAGATAAGCTGAGAACGTGTTGTACCATTGCCGAGGGGCTTGTCGGAGCCCGTAAATTGATTTCCGTAGGAGACAAACGTGATGCGGATGAAGCGAGTCCTCGAATCCTTTTGGTTGTCGCATGTAGATTGTGTCATCTAGCGTGCCATGTAGGAACGCATTTTCTATGTCGAGTTGATGAATTTTCCAGCCGTGATGGAGTGCTAGGGTGAATAGGACGCGTATTGTGGGCAGTTTGGCTACCGGACTAAAGGTCTCGACGTAGTCATATCCATGCTCTTGTTGATTTCCGAGTGCGACCAGACGAGCCTTAAAGCGTGCGACTGATCCGTCCGAGTGAAGTTTGCGGCGATATGTCCATTTGCAACCGAGGACTGTAGAGTTGGTAGGTGGTGGAACCAAAGTCCATGTGCCTTGCTTCTGTAAGGCGAAGAACTCGGCTGCCATGGCTTGTCTCCATTCGAAAGATTTGTTAGCCTCTGTGTAACTGGTGGGTTCCGAATAGGTAGACTCATTATGAAGAAGATTAAGTCTAGCGACTGGCTTGAGATTACCAGTTTGAGATCTAGTGGTCATGTGGTGTCGAGCCGGAATTTGAGGAGGGCTAGAGACAGAGATAGGGGCTGAATCTGTTGGCTGTTGTATTGGCGCTGTGGTGGGAGAGCGCGAGATATTGGATGGTGGTGTATGAGACCCCGTGATCCCATGCGTTTGAACTGGTGCAAGAACCGGTAGAAGCATAGAAGTAGGCAGTGCGGAAGAAGTGGTCTGGAGAGTCTGAGTTTGATTTTTGAATGGGAAGGAGGTTTCGACGAACTTCACATTCCTGGATACTATAATGGATTTGTTGATGTTGTTCAGACACTGATACCCTTTGTAATT